TAGTAAAAAAAAGGAAATTTTTACTAAAACAGATGTGTCATGACAGTTTATAAAATGATGGTTACATACACACTTTTCTATATTGCCACTTAAGATCAACTTTTCATCTTTTAGTACCAGTCTTTTAATGGCACATAAGAACAGATAGGAAAATGGTATTTAGGTAGATGATAGAAAGATGGATTGATTGACATCTGAGATAGAATACAGGCAGATGATGGAGAGGTGGGAAAGAGAGCGAGAGGAGAGGAGAGGAAGAGGAGAGGAAGGAGAGAGAGAGGAGAGAGAGAGAGATATGACAGGATAGATAGATAGATAGATAGATAGATAGATAGATGATAGTATCCCATCTGTCTTTCTATATAAAAATAAGATAGAATGACAGATGGGTAAAATAGAGGATAGATAGAAAGATAGATGATTTATGTTGTTGTTGTATACTGTTGAGGTAGAACTGACCCATAGCTGACGCTTTGTCAGCTTTTCAGAGGCAATTACTCACAGAGGAGGAAATTGCCTGTCCTTCTCCCATGGAGCAGCTGGTGGCCTCAAACTACGTGCCTTTGAGATTGCAGCACAGATTCTTGCCACTAGGACACATAGACTAGGTAGCTTGATGATAGAGAAGATGGTTGGAGTGACAGAGAAAAGGATGGGTAGACAGATGAGATACAAAATAGAGAGATGGCTAGGTAGGTAGATAGAAACAGAAAGTGGATGGAGGGATAGATGGGTGGATGGATGGATGGATGGATGGATGGATGGATGGATGGATGGACAGGTGGGTTGATGGATGAGACAGAAAACAGAGAGGAGGTATACTGATGTTTAGTGAATAGGTTGAAACATCAGGTGGATGGATGGATGGATGGATGGATGGATGGATGGATGGATGGATGGACGGATGGACAGATGGATGGATGGATGGATGGATGGATGGATGGATGGATGGTCGGACCGACAGATGGATGGATGGATGGATGGATGGATGGATGGACAGGTGGGTTGATGGATGAGACAGAAAATGGAGAGGAGGTAGATTGATGTTTAGTGAATAGATTGAAACATCAGGTGGATGGATAGATGGATGGATGATGGATGGATGGATGGATGGATGGATGGATGGATGGATGGATGTGTAGATGTTTGGATGGATGGATGGATGTGTGGATGGATGTGTGGATGGATGGATAAATGGATGGATGGATAGATGCATGAGAGAGAAAATGGATAGATAGTTAGGAAAGAGGATAGATCGATATGT